GTTGAAACTAGTTTCTTAAAATGCGTATGCCATCAAAAAAATATATTCACTAACAATTAAAAGTTTATTTATACTTTCGCTAAATATAACATAAGATTTTGTGGTATCTACTAGTGTAAATATTTTAAATTGAAGATCAAATTCAATCATTGTATTCATATAGGGTCAAGGAGTGTAGCGGTAAAAAATCATCAAAATCGAAGTTAAAATAACCGTCGAAATTTTTTGTCTCATTACTTGATCTCTGAATGTTTATTTTTTCCGATTTTGGGCTTATATGATCTCGAAGTATAAACAAACAAGTTTGACGGTTGGATCGTTGAAACTAGTTTCTTAAAATGCGTATGCTATCAAAACAATATATTCACTAACAATTAAGAGTTTATTTATACTTTCGTTAAATATAACATAAGATTTTGTGGTATCCACGAGTGTCGTGTATTATATGTAAAAATGATGGTTTGTTTAAAAAATGGTTGTCTATTATGAAGTAAAGATGACGTTTTTTTATAAAAAAAACCGTCGTCTATTATATGTAAAGATGACACTTTTTATAAAAACCGTCGTATATTATATGTAAAGATGACGCTGTTTATAAAAAAACTGTCGTTTATTATATGTAAAGATGACGCTTTTTATAAAAACTGTCGTCTATTATATGTAAAGATGACAATTTTTTTTTTAAAAAAGTGTCGTCTTTTAAAACACGCTAAAAAATGGCCGCTTAAGTGAATTCGCGCTTGACAAATTTTCAAATTTTCACCCGTAAAAACAACCGTCGTCTATTATATGTAAAGATGACGATTTTTATACAAACCGTCGTATATTATATGTGAAGATGACTTTTTTTATAAAAATCGTTGTCTATTATATGTAAAGATGATGCTTTTTATAAAAACCGTCGTCTATTATATGTAAAGATGACTCTTTTTATAAAAACCGTCGTCTACTATGAAGTAAAGATGACTATTTTTTTTTAAAAAGGGTCGTCTAATATATGTAAAGATGACGATTTTTTATTTATTTAAAGTGTCGTCTATTATTAAGTAAAGATGACTTTTTTTAAGATGGTCGTCTATTGAATGTAAAGATGACGGTTTTTATAAAACAACCGTCGTCTTTATAAACAATCCATGACGGTTTTCATAAAGAATCGTACTCTTTACATACAATACACGACGGTTTTATTAAAAACAGTCATCTTTTCTCCTATAATTAACGATCTTTACCTCTAAAAAACGACAATTTTCTTTAAAAACCGTCGTCGTTACAGATAAACAATGACGGTGAAAAGCCGTCGTAGTTTGACACCCAAATAGATGTCGGTTGATTTCACGACGGTTTGAAAATCGAATACACGACGTTGAATTCCCGTTGTCTTTTTCCTTTTTTGTAGTAGTGAATATCAATAAACTCCATTACATTAACATAGCCTACCCATCACATTGTTGGGGCAGATCTCCAATGCTGCAAATTGTGCAATAAAAACTAATATACATCCCCGCCCCACCCAACTACTTGGCAGCTGAACCATGGCCTAAAGGTGCATGTCATATTGAAGATATTTCCCTTAGTAATTCTTCAAGTCTGCTATCGAACAAGTGATTCATCTTATATGACTTGTTTCCCAGTGTTGGCTACGCAAATCTCACGGCCTGGTGCTTCGAGCCGAGGGGATGTGCGTTAACACGTGACGTCCTTCTTTTGGATGCGGTGCGGTTGTGCGCGGGCGTGCCAGCACGGTCTACCGTGCGTCGAGATGGTGATGAGGTTTGGGTAGAAGATAGTTAAATGATGCGCCTGTTTTGAGTTCGACTCATAATCAAACGATTGTGGCCGAAAGAGGAACTGATCTCGGTCGTCAGGTTCACGGCTTGAGCTACAAGGCCGTTTAGTGGTGGTGTTGGTGGTGGGTTTTAGGCGGTGCTCCGGCGCGTTACTCAGAGAGCGACGGTCGTATGATATATGAGGTGAATGAGATGATAACAGAGATGGTGCTCCAGCGCCTTGAAAATCAAGGGTCGTATGATATATTGATGAATGAATTTTCCTTACAATCTACCACTACTCATAGGAAAGCAAATAAAGGTATTGAAAGTGCATTACAGGAAAATATAATTTGTTCCGTGGGAGGCTTTTGGTTTGGTGTTTGAACCCTTTGGATGTAGTCTTGAGCTTAGTATTTATAAGGGGAGTCCTGGAGGGACAATCGAGGCTGAAAAGATCTGCTGGTGGAGCCTGATTGGGGCAAGTGGGTGGTCAAATAGGCATTTGGGATCGTGAAGCATGGTGACCCCCATAAATCCAGGTAAATCTCGGCCACCGCCCTGATCGTGGGTTCTGCCCCTTTGGCCTTGGGGACGCATTTAATGCCCTGGTCTGGTGGTTGGTGATCTGACCTCAAGTTGTAAGAATACTTGTGAGGATGTTTGTGCTTAACCACTCTGATTTCCATCATCAAATCCTGACTTCAGTCACTTCCCTTCTTCCCTCGTGCATTAACTACTTCTTGCGACTAGTAGGTTTGTTGCGATAGTCAGAGGCATTACTTCATTAAATGGGGCGTGAGACCCTGAGGCCACGTGGCAGTTTGACCACAGTATCTTCAGCCGTGTCTTTTACGGCCTTTGGCCTTGGCCTATAATACTGCGGTCGCGAGGCCGAGGGGATTCAGCAAGGCGAAATGCCTAACGAAACGTGGCCGTTTCAGTTCATGAGTAGGTGCTAGGGCCGAGAGGAAGTTCCTTCAGTCAGTTTATGACCGTGATTTATTAGGCACAAACACCCACGTGTCCTTCAAATTACTTGTCTCTCACTCCAATTTCTGTCTCACAAGGATTTAAGTCTTTACCTTACATGATTATTGACAATTAACTAACAACACACCCAGTACTTTGCCACTTCTGCATAATATAATATCTAAAGATACATCTCCACACACCAGATAATCATGAAACAACTTAAGCTAGAATGGAAATGTGCAGTAGCAGAAGCCTAATTGAGAACAATTCAAGACTAACAATAGAAATCTATTTGACTAAAAAGAGTTTTAAAAAACAAGAAGACATCGAGAAACAATTGATTGACTTCAAGGTATAATGTAATGGAATATCCTATGAATTAGTGGCAACCACAATAATGACTCCAATATGCCCTCCTTTCAATTGTAAGGAAATGAATGAAATTGGCACCATCCCTTCAATTTTTTCTTAACAAAATAAGAGGTTTGTATGTATTGTCTGCTTTATCAATATCAAAGATAAATTAATAAATACACCATCAAAACTGTATAAAATGTTTGTTAGACATGTACAATTACAAAATTAAAAGTTCTCCTCAGAAACAGAGTTCTCTAAGTATCCATACACAAAAAAGAAAAGCAAAAGCTTAAAGAGTTAGCTTATAGCAAAATCTATGTCCCCATTTCTCTAAACCACACCTGCTGGTGGTAGGTTCCCATCTTCACTCATTTCCCACTTTCTTGTAAGTAGCCAATGATCAAGCACAAAAGAGCAAACTTTTAAAGAACTCATTTTACACCACATATGGTTCTTTGCCCTTCGTTTAGACATTGAATTTTCATCCCCAAACTGAAATTCCAAAGAATCACAAGAAAATATGAAAAAGAAAGAAAACTTATCCATATCCAATATGCAAGCCCTAAAGTTAGTAAACAAAGTTATAAAAAAAATGTCAAATTAACAAGCATTATTCTCAAACAAAAAGTATGATATGGTTGGGAGTTTACAAGTTAAAAATGATATACATAGGTTAATTGTCTTAGACTTTAGATATCATCTTCAAGAAAGAAAATAGATACTGATTAGACTTGTAAGAAGGTTAAATGCAATGGTCATAAAGACCCATAGTAAGCCACCAAATACCAATTAATAAGTGCTACAAAAATCATAATAAAACCATAATAAACTAGAAATACATTAGCACTAAAATGCCAATACAACATCACTAAATTAGCAATATACCAGCAAAAAAACAGCAATACGACATCAATAGCAACAGCAAAACAACAGCAATGCAAGCATCAATCCACAAGGAACAACCCCATTCATTGTTTCAAACAAGGAATCATCAGAATAAGACAATTTCAGAGAAATCCTAAAACCAATTTCAGTGAAACCCATAAACCCTAAACCCATTTAAGAGAAACCCCTAAACCTTAAACCAATTTCGAACAAACCCCTAAACCAATTTCATAGAAACCCATAAACCCTAAATCAACTTCAGAGAAACCCCTAAGCTGTAAGAAAATGACGATGAACAGTACCTGTTGGAGGTGAGCGATGGAGTTGAGCTTCGATGAACAGATTCCGCTGGGAGAGGAAGAGAGAAGAGAGAGTGAGAGCTGAGCAACGACAGAGTGAGAGTGAGCGTTGAGCAACGAGAGAAGAGAGAGTGAGAGCTGAGCGACGAGAGAGTGAAGAGGAAGTGAGAGACATAGCCAAGAGAGAGCTGAGAGAGAACTTCAGCAAAAGTGATATGTGTGCAATAAGTGGACAATAAATATATATTTATAGGTGATAGTTCCAAATTTTTTAGGGAGATGTGGTATTTTCAGTTAAAATTATCAAAATGGTGGCATTTTGAGTTATTTCCTTATTTTAAAACATTGCGGGTGTCCAGATAAAGGTAAAAACAAAAAGGTCTTGGTTGGGTGTTATGAGAAACAAGGGTTTGCAGAGACCACCATTGAATATTAATTTGTAAACAGAACCCAGCCCAAAGCAAACTAAAAAACAAAAACAATATTGAGCCCAAAAATAGAGTGTCATAATGGATTATTCAACAAAAGCAACCCCACAATAATGTTATTGGTTATTCCAGTAGAGAGAGAGAGAGAGAGAGAGAGAGAATTCTAGTCTGCCTCCTTCCAAATATCCATTAAACCCTAAACCTAGTAGCAGTTTTCTGGTTTCCATTATTCATTCACTTCTGTCCCATGGTCATGGCCTCAGCCACTTTCTTGAAAGCAGGCCTAGAAGAAATGTCCTCCCACCAAGCCTTAACATGGCTTATCAATGAAGACCAAGGAGTCTTCATGAAATAAAAAGTGTAAGCGAAGTGGTGAAGGTCAGCCAGGCTATAGAAATCACCAGCCAAGTACTTGGTGCTGCTCAGCCTAGCCTCGTACACGTCCAGCACTTTCGCAAGCTTCTCGAGGTTGGCGTCAATGACTGCTTGATCTGGTGTCATGCCGTATATTGGCGCCACCAAATGTTGGAAGACAATGGCAGAGATTGCAGGGTTGAAGTTCTGAGACTCTGCTTCTGTCCAGACCTTCACTAATGCAGCCTCTTTCAGGTTGTTATGCCTAATCAGATCGGCACCAGTGTCCTTGAATTTCTCAGCCACATATGCTGTGATAGCTCTAGACTCTGCCATTCAATAAAACAATATGTTCCACAAATGAGTACGGAAAGAAACTAAAAGCTTCAATATATGCGCACACAAAAAAGTCAGATGGTTAAGGACACTGCTTCCCGTTCTTTAGAAGAAGACGATTCTTGTTCTTGCAAATCACAATTTGACACATTTGCAAGAATAATTCAACAAAAACCTAAAACATTTTGCACACATGTCAAATTGTGATTAATAGTGAAAGTAGGAGTTCCAACTTCCAAGAAAGGACGCAAGTATTTTCGTTATTACGATCATTGCGTTATGTATTCAAATTCGTAACCAAGAAACAAAAGTCATAATATAATCATGGGTATTATGAATACACATAGACTATAGTACAAAAAGGTACACTCAAAATGTTCTCCAAAAAATATTTTTTTTTAAAAGGTTCCTCAAAAAATTGAATCAAACTAGGAAGGGGTTCGGAGAAGATTGGATGCCAGACAAACATTTATAAATAGCTTTTTATTTTTGTTTTTCCGTTCGATTGTTTTCCCCACTCCTCCAATCGTACAGTCTTTTATTGATTTTCCGTTACAGATTCCACAATCTTTAGTTTGTGAAACGGCTAATTCATTAAAAACTTTAAGAACTGCTGGACGTAGATGATGAATATTGCTGAATGAGTGATGTGTATTGAGATTCCTATAATTTCAATCAAATTCAAGAGTGCAATTCACAAAGAGTGGATGGTTTAAAAACAAAATAAAACAAAATAAAATCATGAAGATCGCTGCATAAATCCAGATCTCCAGGAGAAAGGGAACGAAAGGGAGGATCTAGAGCAATATTATCAATTATACATTCTGTTCTATATATAATAAATTGAAGAAAAATTACCAAAAAGAGTAAGATCACCATCTTCTAGCACTGGAATCTGTCCAAAGGGCTGCAAACGAAACCAAATCAGAAATTAAAAAAAGGCTATGAAAAAGAATGACTTGTGCGATTAATTGAATTGAAACATCACAAAAAAGAAGAAGAAATAATTACATTTTTGGCGAGGAAAGCAGGCTGCTTGTGTTCTCCAGCAGGAAGGTTGACAGGGATGAGTTCAAAATCCAAGCTTTTTTCATGGAAAATGGTTAAGACACGACCGGTGCATGTTGAAAAGGGAAGGCCATGAAGCTTGAGTGCCATTTGTTGATTTGTGTGTGATTGTTGAGGAGAATATCAAAGATGAAAGGTGAAGATGGAGATGGAGAAGGTCTTGATTCTTGATTTATTTATACAAATTACTGAGGGGCGTCTCTTGTGCTTGGTACGTGTTAGGTAGTATTTACTAGTTGTGATGTAGATTTCCTTCCAAGAAATCTCCACAATTACCCGATGCGATAAGATTTCCCCACTCCCTTTTTCTCCATTTACACTCCATTTTACTTTTTAATACTTTTTAATCAATTTTGTTCTTTCTCTTTCCTATTCTACCCTTACCCTATAATAATTTCATTTTACTTCACTTTTATATTAGTTATTTTTCTTTATACTTAATTTTCAATTTGCATTCAATTTTCAGTATTTTTCTTTCCTTTAATCGAGTAAGAAATTAAGTTTGTTTTTCCCTTTTAACATTGAAAATGGAGTGTAAGTTGAAAAGTTAAGTACAAAGAAAAAATAATAATATAAAGTGAAGTAAAAAAAAAAATTAATGTAGGGTAAGGATAGAATAGGAAAGAGAAAGAACAAAATTGATTAAAAAGTATTAAAAAGAAAAATGAAGTGTAAGTGGAGAAAATGGGAGTGGGGAAATCAGCTCCCTTACCCAATTTCTGACATTCCTTCGCAATTAGGAAAGAAAGTAATTAAATCAAAATAACATTTCGTATCCCAATTAGTATAGAAAGAATATATATATATATATATATATTTCATAGCTGATTAGTATATAATTTTATTTTATTTTTCAACAAGGGTCGGTTTGTTATGTAGGTTTTTAAAAAGTTAATTTTTTTTTTTGAGTGGCGAGAAAATTACCAGTTAGTTTAAGCGTTTGATAAATTTTATTATAAAAGTGATGTCACTCTGTATAATCACTAAAATGTATATGATGTTAAAAATGCTACGTCCTAATCAGATTCGAAAAGAAAATATGTTGACTTGGGTTTATCATTTTCTCTTAACCTCTTCAATTTGCCAAATGCAAAAATAAAAATGAAAGATCACCCAAAAAAAAGTTTTATTAGTTCCTTAGAACTAATCCCATTGTAGAGTATACTACGAATTTTATTTCAATGATAAGAATTGTCTATTTTTCAAGTATTCATTCATAGATTTCCTTCTAATAAATCTCCACAATTACCCGATTTCCGAGATTCCTTTGCAATTAGTAAAGAAAGTAATTAAATCAAAATAACATTTCTTATCGCAATTACTATAGAAAGCATTTATATAAAAAGAAAAAATAAATAAAAGTTCATATCTAATTAGTACATAAAGTTTTTTTTCCTTCAACAAGGGTAAGTTTGTATTGATGTATAGTTTTTTTTTAGTACAAGTGATATTCTAGACTACAAAGGAGATGAGAGTTTCTCACACACTATTAAGGTGCCATAAGAATTCGAACCAAAGACCACTGGTATGCAAGTTTGGTCCTTTTCCACTCGGTTGGTTTGTATTGATGTAGCTTTTAAAAAAGTTATTTTTGTTTTAACCAAAAAAAAAAAAAGTTATTTGTTTTGTTGGCAGAATAATCACCATTTTTTTTTTATACAAGCGATATTGGGAGATGTGGATTTTCTCACATATACACACATTGTTAAGGTGATATGGGGATTCGAACTTGAGACTACTAGTTTGCAAGTAAAGGCCCTTTCTAGTAGACTAGACCCCACTGACGAATAATGACTAAAATGTACAAGATGTTAAAAATGTTATATGATATTAGATTCGTAAAGAAAATATATTAACTTGGATTTATACATTTTCTCTTAACCTTCGATTGGCCAAATGCAAAAATAAATAATAAAAGATCAACTATCACACAAAATATGTTTTATTATTTCTTTAGAACTAATTATATATAAACAATCCTATTTTATTGAGGAACACATTGTGGAGTACACTTATTTCAACGACATGAACCATATATTTTTCAAGTATTTATTTATAGATCATTCTTGTAAAAAGTTAGATAAATTTAAAACCATTAAGACATCTAGTTGTGACGAATAAAATAGACAAGCATGGTGACACTAAAATGAAACTATTATAATTGAGTGGTCAAATGGTTTCAAAATACTTAAAAGATAAATTGTTCAAATAATTGAAATACAATACGAAGTGACCCTGCACACAAAAAAGTCAGATGGTTAAGGACACTGCTTCCCGTTCTTTAGAAGAAGACGATTCTTGTTCTTGCAAATCACAATTTGACACATTTGCAAGAATAATTCAACAAAAACCTAAAACATTTTGCACACATGTCAAATTGTGATTAATAGTGAAAGTAGGAGTTCCAACTTCCAAGAAAGGACGCAAGTATTTTCGTTATTACGATCATTGCGTTATGTATTCAAATTCGTAACCAAGAAACAAAAGTCATAATATAATCATGGGTATTATGAATACACATAGACTATAGTACAAAAAGGTACACTCAAAATGTTCTCCAAAAAATATTTTTTTTTAAAAGGTTCCTCAAAAAATTGAATCAAACTAGGAAGGGGTTCGGAGAAGATTGGATGCCAGACAAACATTTATAAATAGCTTTTTATTTTTGTTTTTCCGTTCGATTGTTTTCCCCACTCCTCCAATCGTACAGTCTTTTATTGATTTTCCGTTACAGATTCCACAATCTTTAGTTTGTGAAACGGCTAATTCATTAAAAACTTTAAGAACTGCTGGACGTAGATGATGAATATTGCTGAATGAGTGATGTGTATTGAGATTCCTATAATTTCAATCAAATTCAAGAGTGCAATTCACAAAGAGTGGATGGTTTAAAAACAAAATAAAACAAAATAAAATCATGAAGATCGCTGCATAAATCCAGATCTCCAGGAGAAAGGGAACGAAAGGGAGGATCTAGAGCAATATTATCAATTATACATTCTGTTCTATATATAATAAATTGAAGAAAAATTACCAAAAAGAGTAAGATCACCATCTTCTAGCACTGGAATCTGTCCAAAGGGCTGCAAACGAAACCAAATCAGAAATTAAAAAAAGGCTATGAAAAAGAATGACTTGTGCGATTAATTGAATTGAAACATCACAAAAAAGAAGAAGAAATAATTACATTTTTGGCGAGGAAAGCAGGCTGCTTGTGTTCTCCAGCAGGAAGGTTGACAGGGATGAGTTCAAAATCCAAGCTTTTTTCATGGAAAATGGTTAAGACACGACCGGTGCATGTTGAAAAGGGAAGGCCATGAAGCTTGAGTGCCATTTGTTGATTTGTGTGTGATTGTTGAGGAGAATATCAAAGATGAAAGGTGAAGATGGAGATGGAGAAGGTCTTGATTCTTGATTTATTTATACAAATTACTGAGGGGCGTCTCTTGTGCTTGGTACGTGTTAGGTAGTATTTACTAGTTGTGATGTAGATTTCCTTCCAAGAAATCTCCACAATTACCCGATGCGATAAGATTTCCCCACTCCCTTTTTCTCCATTTACACTCCATTTTACTTTTTAATACTTTTTAATCAATTTTGTTCTTTCTCTTTCCTATTCTACCCTTACCCTATAATAATTTCATTTTACTTCACTTTTATATTAGTTATTTTTCTTTATACTTAATTTTCAATTTGCATTCAATTTTCAGTATTTTTCTTTCCTTTAATCGAGTAAGAAATTAAGTTTGTTTTTCCCTTTTAACATTGAAAATGGAGTGTAAGTTGAAAAGTTAAGTACAAAGAAAAAATAATAATATAAAGTGAAGTAAAAAAAAAAATTAATGTAGGGTAAGGATAGAATAGGAAAGAGAAAGAACAAAATTGATTAAAAAGTATTAAAAAGAAAAATGAAGTGTAAGTGGAGAAAATGGGAGTGGGGAAATCAGCTCCCTTACCCAATTTCTGACATTCCTTCGCAATTAGGAAAGAAAGTAATTAAATCAAAATAACATTTCGTATCCCAATTAGTATAGAAAGAATATATATATATATATATATATTTCATAGCTGATTAGTATATAATTTTATTTTATTTTTCAACAAGGGTCGGTTTGTTATGTAGGTTTTTAAAAAGTTAATTTTTTTTTTTGAGTGGCGAGAAAATTACCAGTTAGTTTAAGCGTTTGATAAATTTTATTATAAAAGTGATGTCACTCTGTATAATCACTAAAATGTATATGATGTTAAAAATGCTACGTCCTAATCAGATTCGAAAAGAAAATATGTTGACTTGGGTTTATCATTTTCTCTTAACCTCTTCAATTTGCCAAATGCAAAAATAAAAATGAAAGATCACCCAAAAAAAAGTTTTATTAGTTCCTTAGAACTAATCCCATTGTAGAGTATACTACGAATTTTATTTCAATGATAAGAATTGTCTATTTTTCAAGTATTCATTCATAGATTTCCTTCTAATAAATCTCCACAATTACCCGATTTCCGAGATTCCTTTGCAATTAGTAAAGAAAGTAATTAAATCAAAATAACATTTCTTATCGCAATTACTATAGAAAGCATTTATATAAAAAGAAAAAATAAATAAAAGTTCATATCTAATTAGTACATAAAGTTTTTTTTCCTTCAACAAGGGTAAGTTTGTATTGATGTATAGTTTTTTTTTAGTACAAGTGATATTCTAGACTACAAAGGAGATGAGAGTTTCTCACACACTATTAAGGTGCCATAAGAATTCGAACCAAAGACCACTGGTATGCAAGTTTGGTCCTTTTCCACTCGGTTGGTTTGTATTGATGTAGCTTTTAAAAAAGTTATTTTTGTTTTAACCAAAAAAAAAAAAAGTTATTTGTTTTGTTGGCAGAATAATCACCATTTTTTTTTTATACAAGCGATATTGGGAGATGTGGATTTTCTCACATATACACACATTGTTAAGGTGATATGGGGATTCGAACTTGAGACTACTAGTTTGCAAGTAAAGGCCCTTTCTAGTAGACTAGACCCCACTGACGAATAATGACTAAAATGTACAAGATGTTAAAAATGTTATATGATATTAGATTCGTAAAGAAAATATATTAACTTGGATTTATACATTTTCTCTTAACCTTCGATTGGCCAAATGCAAAAATAAATAATAAAAGATCAACTATCACACAAAATATGTTTTATTATTTCTTTAGAACTAATTATATATAAACAATCCTATTTTATTGAG